CGCGGCGAGCCCGGCCCGGCGCTCGGGCACGTGCGCGGCCTCCAGGGGGCAACGTCCCTCGCGGGAAAGGGGAGTCCGGGCGTAAGTGACCTGCAGTAAAATTAGCCAGGTTTGTGGCTTGCTAGGAACTCGAAAACTCCGCTACAAAAATAAGACGTGACAGACTTGAGGCACCATCCATCCATCCATCCCTCACGCCGAGATGTGCCCGGGGCAGATTCCGCAGTGGTCACGCTGCGTTTTCGGCCGAGCAGCCTGTACAGGCTCCGGGTTTGCCCCGCGCGCTGCCCCGGTGCTCCCCAGGAAAGGTGTGGAGTTCCCCGGCCTCTCCGCTGAGAGACGCATCCTGCCCAGGCCCGATCCTGCGGGAGATCAGGGCCGTGCAGCCGGGACCGGGGCACGGGGCTTGTGAGACCTGGGAACAAATGGGCAACCTGGTGGGGATGAAGGTGAGGCAGATGGGGAAGGACAAAGGCAAACATGGGGATCAGAGAAGGAAGGGATTTGAATATGTAAAACAGACACGGGAGAACGGTGAAGGCAACTTGCTTCCTTCTTGGAGCTGTTCTCTAGGGGAAGAAAGGGTGTTTCAGACAGAGATGTGATTTCAAAATATCATTTGTAAGAATGCTACTGATGGAAATGAAGTTAAAGGAATAGCTTTAAACAGTGTCCATGTGGGAGTGAGCAGCCCAGGGCAAGAGTGCCCTGGCCCTGGCTGGCAGTACGCCGCGACAAGCAGTGGATTTGGTCCAGCAGGTCGGTCACAGGGGCAGCGGATGTGCTGGGATGTGCTGGGATGTGCTGGGATGTGCTGGGCTTGTGGGGAGCAGGGCAGGGACCTCGCTCGGAGCTGTTGTCCAAATTCAGTGTTGGTCCATGCGGGAATGATGTTGAGAGCCCATGTGCAGCACTGGAAACCAGCCGCGGGGCGAGAGGCTGCAGGGAGGCCGAGTACCTGCCGCTGACTTTGGGCCTGGCTTTGGCTGGAGTGCTCCACTGTGACCGATGCCGATCTACATGAAAATGCCTGTCCGAGCTGGGGAAGCATTTGATTACATTAGACCTTGTAAATTTTAACTGAAAAAGAATCCAGAAGAGGCCGCAAGCAGAGGAGAGTGAAAAACGGCATGTAATGAAGCTGGACAGGATGCTACAGGTCTCTGTGTTGGGCCCCTGTTTATCTGATGGCTGAAACAGGGCAGGAAGCGAGGAGTGCTCTTGTCAGTACTGCTCTGTGAATGGGTCTGAATGGGGAGCATTGAGTGACTGGGAAAGCACCCGTACAGCAGGAGCACAGCGGGGCCTTGCCCTGGGACCTCTGCTGCCTGCAGAAGTATGAGCAGAAAGGAAGCTTGCAGGCAAAGGAGGTGAGCGCAAGGAAAAAGATGAAGGGCTCATTTGGCTCGGGGTCTGTTCCTGTTTGTGTCTTCTGTGCCCTAC